GCAGTCTGGACTAAACCACAGATTTTTTTTTTCTACACTACTGCTCACACACACAAAGTCTTTAATTTGTTTCATGAAACTGGTCCCTGGATAATATTCAGAAGTGACAAAGATGGCAGTAATTCCTTTGTGTGCAGCATCTCAACCATTTTACACCAGCTTTCCTACATTTGCAGGGGAATAGAAAAAGAAATATTATACCACTAAATAATTAGATTTGTTCTTGTCTCATGCCTGGGCAGACACAAACTTTTTCTCTGCATGCACCAGTAAAAGGAAGAGATGCTTTTGCGGAAGTGGGACTGATCAAGGACTTGAATTTTTTTGAAGCCATGTAGAATTAGGCAGCAGAAGGCACATACAGATGGATGTAATTACCCACCTATTTCCAAAGGCACTGCAGCTCTTCTCTTCAGTCCTGGAGATTTACCATCTCCACTTCTACACACACCCTACCGAGTCCCTCCCCATATTGATCCAAACATAGGAGGGAAAATGATGAAGAAATATCCAGAGTTAGCAAGATTTTAGATTAGTCACCAGCTAGCTGTAAATGCAGCAGGAGTAGCCCAGATTGCATCAACTAGATGATGGGAACTCATCTCTCCTCTCTGGCTTTTTGCAAACTCTGAAACAGCTCTTGCCACATTACTGACTTGGTCTTTCACACTCACTCAGGGCATCTTTGTCACAATCTTCATTCTTGGCCTTGTAGGGGTTTTTTTCCTGTAAGAGGCATGCTGAGGATGTGGCCATCACCACAGCAGCATCTTCAAAGATCACATCCTGCACATGTAACATGTTTACTGCCAGAAGAAATTCCTAACCAGGTAACGAATCACTGGAGACTGGTCTTCAAGGGAAATATTTACTGAAAAGCAACTCAAGTTCCATTTTTCTTTGAAGGGCAGAAGAGGAGTTTGTAGGGGGCCAGGCTTCCAAATGCCACCTTATCCAGGAGAAACAACTGCTGCCAAGCACTGGCCCCCACACTTGGTTCTTTCTTGTAGCCTGAGAAATATAACCAGCTAAGCTTTCCCTGTCCCTTGCTACAGTAAAATTGTGTCCTCAAAGGCTCTCAGTGCTCCTTGGAAGGCTCCTGACATCAGAAACAAAACTGGAGTGCACCAGTGTTGATCCTCCAGTCTTACCACTTTCATGTAGATCTTGTAACCAAGCATGGCAGAAAAATGGCACACAGGGAAGAAATTAGCACTTAGAAACATCCTTGTCAATCCCTGCACTTCTCTCTATCCCTTATAATTAATTGGAAATTGATACTTTATAAAATTCTCACTGATGTCCAAAAATAGTTGTATGCTAACAAAAGACGGGGGGAAAGAAGTTTTAAAATAATAAAGAAAATAATTTGAAGAGGTGATATTTAAATTTACAGCTGGTGGTAATATTTCTTACAGATCAATGCTAAGCTGTATTAGTAATAAGCACATTTGGTTTTTTTAAATGTCCTGATTCATGCAAAGGAGATGATTGAGAAAAAAATGCAAGGTGAATGCAAGCAATCACAAGAGGCCATTCATTATTCTGCATACATTTTTTTATGAATACATTCACAGAACTGCAACTGTGTTCATTCCACAAGTAGCTCAGGGCAGAGGGATTAAATCAGACAACCTTTATAATTGTTCTCCAGCTGTCAGTCAGCCTTTTTTATCTGCCAGCATGTGTAGACAATATAATTTCCATTAACAATGCCACTCATTTAGTGGCACTGGACTGAAATGACGACATTAAGTGGATAATGAAAAAAAATAGGAAAAAAAATGATTGCGTAAATCCAAAAAGCTGAAAGAGTTAATTGGTTAATTGGCTGTTTCTCAAACAACATTGGCTCCCACTGGTGTACCAGTAATTAAACAGCTAATTACTATTTTATTTCAGAAAGTGAGGAACCCTAAGATTAAAGTAATGACAAATGCAGCTTGCTGAAGTGAGAATAGTAACACTGCTGTCATCAAGAGATCCCTGCAGCACCATCACCTTGGGAAGGTTTGCACACAGACATGTCACAAGAGTAATTAGCTAATTAGAAAGCTATAAAATACCTCCTTCCCCTTTCACTATCTGAGATCCCAGATATGATTCCAGATTTAAATGGAAAATTAACACTATTGCTTTACTTACTTTGATGAAACCTTTTCTGGGCTATGTTCATGAGATGTTCATGGGCCAAAATGTTTTAAATTAATCCCTCCTTAACTCCACGGGCTGTTTCAGATATTTCAACCTATATCTCGAAGGCCATGATAGATCTACATACAAAAATCTGCATATTCCAAAAATCAGCATCAGTTGAATTTTAGTCTCCACTGATGTGCTATTCAGTGTGGGACACCTCAGGTTTCACTGCGGATTAGAAACTTATGTTTTATCATACATATTCACAATGGAGTAATGTAAGAAATTAATTTATTGACTCAATTAATTAAGAAATCAATTTCTAACTTTTGGAGAAATTAATGCTCAGTGGCACAAAGAGCAGGAACTGACAAACTGGTATTTTGCCTTGCTTACCTAGAACAGGCATTTCTACACCAGCCCATCCATCCTCAGTCACCCCGCTGTAACTCTTGAGCCCAATGAGGAAGACTGTTGTTCTAATTTCAGCTTTTCCTCTGCTTTCTCTGAATTTTGAGACTTGTCTCAAACATTTATTTCTTATATAAACAGTAATTTTATAGGTAATTAGTTTATAGAGATTACCATTTCTTGGAAAGCAGCAAATGGAGCTATGATCCCAAACCCTCTCCAGCTCTTCAGGAAAAACTAGATTCATTACTGATGTAGGCTAATCTTCACTCTATAATGTAAAAGGGAAAGAAAAGGAAAAACAAGCAGTCACAGGCACTCTCAAAGTTGGCCAGATTTCAGCTTTCAAGAAAGAGAGAAGCTTTTTGAAATTTGTCTACTACATTAAAATAAACCCCTGATATAAGTTAAGATAGTATTTGAAAAGCACTTAGCATGATACTGATTCTTTGACAAACACTTATTATCAGATTGTGAAAGCAGACTGTGATTACATTCTTTTTTCTTTTTCTACACATAATTACAAAATGTTCTCAGTTAAGTGATGAGTCAATTAAATGTATCCCTTTCACTACAGGATTCTGTGCATGCAGCACATATACAGCAAACAAAAAGGCACGACTTGCTGCACATTTTTCTTATGAAGCTGCCACTATCTGGTCTATCCTTGCTTTACACTCCCCAGAAGGATTAGTGCAGTGCTTAGTCCATCATCATCCACTGAATTCAGCCTACTACAGTTAACCCTAACAGGAGTTCTGGGGTTGGTGTAAACACCAAATAGTACAGACAGCATATTTTAAGACTGTGGACAGTTTCCAAGAGATACCCACCTTTAGCTTGCCGAATGAGTCTGGCTGAAGATTAGATTTCCATAGTAAGTGGGAAAATGAGGCATTTCCAGGCTCATTTCTTTTCCTTTCTTCAGTGCTTGTGAGAGAGAACCAGCTTTGCTTACTCACTGGAGGAGAAACATGTGAAAGGCTGTACCCAGCCTACACACAGAGAGGGTAAGACTATACCACCCTCCATTATTTAGGGAACTAGATGAGATTCCTGACCAGAGGACTTGCCTGTATCACTCCTAGGAGCCACCCCAACAAGGATAAAGAGTATGAGCATCAGAGCAGCAAACAAGCATGAACCACAAACACTTGCTGGTTTTCAAGGGGAAAATAAAGGACTCCCAGAAACCCAGCTAGGCCAAAAACTGCATAACACAGCATGAACTGCTACATGATGGAAGCCACAGAACTTGAATGAATGATTGCTGCTGGGAATCCTACATTTGGTAATGGACTACAGCATCTAGTGCAGATGGAAAAGGTGCAGTTAGAGTTGTAACTATGAGTGACAGATTTTTGCTTGCAGACAGTCAAGGATGATGGAGGCAGTAACAGACCTCCTGTCCATCTGCACAAAGAAACCTGTCAGAACATGGCCACCACTATCTGTGCCACAGAGCTGGGGCCAGGCTTGCCAAACACAGCCTTGTAATGTCAAGTGCTGACTAAGTCAAGAAGCAGGAGCCACCATGACAAGGAATAGAAGAAACTGCTGCTCACCACAATGAGAAATTCCCACTCTCCATTTCCTCCACAAAAGAAACCTTTCTGCTGAAAGGCTTCCTGTTTGGTCTCACAGCATGTGAAACAAAGAGGGAAGAAAGCAAGCAGGGTGTTTCTGGCAAGATCAGAGCTGGGTTGGTCACATTACTGAGTGATGGGCAGAGCTGCTCTGGTCACACATCACGACTGCTCTGCCATGTTTTCTACATTCCTAATTCTGAAAGACACTTAAGCATCTGCATAACATTTGAAACATGTGTTTAATTACAAGACATTGTTTACATCTGAAAGTGGACTGTGTAACACTAACTCTAACCCAAAATAATCCATTTCCAGTATGATCATATTATAAAGTCCAACCACAAGGTTGGCAGACTATAGTTCTGAACATTTGGCTCAGGGTTTTTCTTCCTCCAGAAAAGCCAGAAAAGTGAACAGGTAAGGATTCAACGTCAACAAAAATTCCAAACTTAGGGGTTGGTTTTATCACTATCTTTCCGGACAAACTGCACCACAGATCTTCAGATATAGAGGGTGGATGATGGGGATGGTTGGGCAGGACAGGACATGGACAACACAATATGAACTCTCATATCCTCCCCATCTCTACTTCAGTGAGACTCAACCTCTCTTAATAGTCTTGTGTGTCTGTGCAACATTTTTAGCAATTGCTGGATGCCTGGTTGCAGGGTCTAAAGAATAAACCTAAAATCATGTGCTAAGGTTCAACATATAGGTGCTTAGGATGGAATTCTGAAAACAATTGTGCTGTACACTGAAATATGGTACTTGATTATATTCAGTGTTTTCACCCCATCCTGAACTGACACAATGCTAAACAGACCCAATTAGTTCAATAAAAAAAGGCAATACTCAGTCTAGCAAAGTCATTCATTATAATATTTATTCTATGAAACAATGCTGAAAATAGAAGATTAAAAAATGTTCCATGCATTGCATAAAATACAGAGAAAGACACTGTCATAAACAAAACAGAATAAGCAAGCCAAACACCCTCTGAAAACCCCAGGAGCTCCACTCTCCACATTGCATCATGAGAATACAAAAAGCATATCCAGGAGAAAGAGCAGTCTGAGGAAAGTGGCAGGTTATCTGTCAATAACTGGGATGAGTACATGTCTTGGTCATTAACCCACAAGAGTTTTGCCATCACCTTTCTTACTACAAAACCAAACTGATTCCACTTGCTTTCCTTGCTACCAGTTCCTGGCAATGTCTTTGGCTGGGAAACCAGGACAGCAGAGCAGAATTCACATTAAGCTGCTGTCCAGAAAGGTACTAGGGCCCAAAATGTAGGCAGCTATGGAAAGGTATCAGGGCACAGTGGGTGAGAGGGAATGGCAGCTGCTCCCCTGCTGGAAGCAGGCTGCAGGGACATGCCTTGACTGTCTTCCCAGGAGCAGAGTGTGTGGAAAATGCACCCGCTGGAAGAAGGATGGGCAGAAGTGATGCCCTAGGGTGACTTTATGATGCTTGGAGCCCCAGCTGTCTGTTCTGTTTATGCTGGATATTAAGTTCTGCACCTTTAAGACTGGTTCTGAGAGCAAAGGGCAGGAGAAGAAGAGCAGAGCTTGTTTGCAGAAACTGCACTTGCTCCCCTCATTGCCTCTCACAGACTGTGCTGTCTGCAGCATGGACAGCAGGACAGAGCTCTCCTTTGCCTTTAGTCAGCTTCTTTAGCTAGCTGAGGCAGAGAAGTTCCCCACACTGTGGTGCTTCTTTTTCGTGGAACTCATTGGCCCTGCTCTGAACTGAAAACCCAGAAAAACACAGGAGCTCATGCCTGCAGCCCCCCACAGCCTGGGATGCAGCATTTTCCAGTGCAGGAGGAGAGACTGAGCAAGCCTACCACACCCAATGAAAAGGATTTTCTGAATGTGCCATCTCTTCAGAACAGGGAGAGGTTTGTTTAATATTATTCCTTTTTTATGCTTGTGAATACTTTGCTTGTTAAATAAACAGATTTTTCCACTTTTCTCCAAGGAAATCTTGAGGGGAGCGGTTGCTTGAATCTGCTTTCTAGAGGGACCAATTTGGAAGTTTCCTCCCAAATTTGCCCTAAACCAGGACAAGCAGGAAATGTATCTAGTATCTCTTTAAGAATCCCAGTCACACAAAAGACATGCTGCATTAAAGATGGATGACAAGAGCAACACCTGCCTTTAGGTTACAAATGACATTGCTATCAATCTTATTGAAACATTTTGATCCAGCTCCTTCTCCTCAACCTACAATACTGGGCTTGGCTTCAGCAAAGCTGTCACAAGATCCTTCTCTTGGTTTTCTTTTACAGAACCTCCCACACTCCCACAACAGTTAACAACCACATAACCACCAAACACAAAGCCAGCCTAATTCTGGGCTCTGACATAAAAGCAGCCTCACTCTTGTGCTGGGAACACCCCAAAGCTGCCATAGCCGTATTTGGGGAGGGCAGTGTAGAGAAAGGAAGAACAAGGCTCCACTTACACCAACACCTGCTGCTCCAAAAGTCCCACCCACAAAGCTTTAGGAGCACCATAATCAAAGAATTTCATGTGGGGAGGAGCAAAGAGAAGAGAACAGCCTGGGATCCTTCCCCCTGCACCTGGGGATGCAGCCACTCTTCAGAACAGCATTCTTCCTCCTGCCAGCTCCCAAGCCAACTCTGCTGCAGCATGGAAGGTTCTGCATCAGCCTCCTGAGAATGAAGCACAGGGGGAGAACATGGTTATGGTTGGAAAAGTGGTTTTCATGTTGATCCTTAAAAACATAAAGCTAGAAACTCCTATTTAAAAATCAGTGAAGTGTAATTCAGCCTGTAACACAAACTATTACAAAATTAGAAGTAAGATCTAGAATTGCCCATGCTATACCTTAATTCTCTCCCTTTGCATATATATATATATGTATATCAGGAATACGACTTTATATCACATGGTCTTCTCACTTTCCAATTCCCAGAAGAAACCTATTCCATTCCCTGCACAAGCACAAAGGAGTCAGAAAGAAGACTCCATAGAAAATCCCAGGTCCAGCATTTCTCTCTTGAAGTGCTTGCAGCTAGAATAACATTTTCTTGGTAAAGTTTTTAAAGTTCAATTATGTTTAATGTGCTCCATTTAGCTTGCATTAAAAAAAAAAAAAAGAGAAAATGCTGTAAGAAATTAAGGTCTTCACAGGTCTCCACAGGCTTTGGTGAAATACAGAGAGTCTTTTAAAATAATTGCCCAGCTTCCTCTATAGTGGAATTTCTGTGCTGTCCATGTAAACATTACACAGAGTCTTTGTACCACCCACTAAGCTCTTTGTTTCAATCAACTATTTCTTCCCAAAAGCACATCCTTATGTTTCTTCCTACACCACAGCCACCCTCCTACACCACAAAAGATGCAACAAAACAGGAATTAATCATAGGCTGGATACTTACAGGGATTGCTGCTGTTTGCCTCTGTCTTTGCAGCCTTGGCAAGTTTGGTTGAGTTCTGCTGTGCTTTGCCTTGCTCCTCTCCAGTTAGCAGGGCTTTTATTTCCGAGGGGATTTTCCCTTGGTCCATGGCCATGCACCACTGCTTGTACTGAAATATGCAAACACATTAGGCCTTAGCAAAGTGCCAGGATCACATTAGCAGACAAACCAGGGCTGGAATCTTTACCTTCCTGTTCATTCATGGAAGGTCTGAACGTACTGAGCTGAAGCCTCTTACGAAACTGCAGAGCCCTAATGAGCTGAGCACGTGGCCACGGCTGCATACCTGGCCCCAGCAAAGCCTCTTTCAGTCAATAAACTGCTGCTCAGAGGCAGCCGCAGACAGAATGCTGTAATTATTAAACAACATGGAACACTCTGTGCGATTTCTCGCTGCTGGCATGCGAGAATACCGTTCCAGTTCATGGCCTATTAAAAACAAATATTTCACATGACTCTGGGGCTCATGGACTACTGAGAGGTCCTTTCCAATTGCACAAGCACAGTGGAAGCACATGTGCCTTATTCCTACTTCTCTCATCTTAAATCCTTCATTGCCAAACCCTGAGGCACATCAAAAAACTGTGGACAGTTGGCTGGCTTTTCACCTGATCCTAAACCTGCTGACTTGTAGTGATTAGCCCTGCCCATTCAAACAAACCTAAAGTCAGGTCAATAGAGCATTCTCAGCATTGGTGATGTTTCAAGGGCACCACTGTGTTGTCACTATAGGACACAAAAGAACACAAGTGCACACCGCAGTTCTCAAGGTGAAGAAAAAAAGGAAGTTTATTTTCTGACATTTATAGTTTTCCAAGAGTGACAGTGGATTGGAGGGTGACAGTGCCACTTCTCCAATGACACTGGACAGACCAACAGTCCATCAACTTTCTCCTCCTCCATAAAGGAATGCAAAACAATGAGTTACTTACAGAAAGCGTGTGAGAAAGTTCTCTACAAGAATGTCAGCATCAGAAGACTAAGAAAATCTTAAAAAAACAGGGCAACACTGTGTCTGTATTTCCAGATGAAACGTTCTCTTTGGTTAATGCCGCTCTTTTGGCCAAAACCCTTATCTTACACATCCTAGAATCACCTACACAGAGAGCATGCTGCAAGAATCCTCCTCCCCAACAGAGAAGCAATGGCACTCTGTGGATATATGCTTGCCCTTTGATATTTCAACACCTCTTCCCACAATCTACCTCAGTCAAAGGTGTTTCAAAAGCAGACATTTCAAAGACAACACACTCAAATGTAATGGCACTTCCTTTGCTTGCTTCCAGCTCAGAACCAGCAGATAACTCGTGATATGAGTTTGTATTCTACACACCAAAGCAGGCAAACAGCTGGATGCATCTGATGTTTTGATACCTCCTGGCCAGCCAAATGCCACTGTCAGTCACTGTGGTACCGAGAACAAGTGTTCATGAGGACAGGTCCCAGACAGTACTGAGGGTTAGGTTAAATGATAATTCCTTACCATTTCAAGCTCTTCTCTGAGAGCACAGATGGCTCTCTCTCTGCTTGAAACCAGTTCTTCCAGGTACTGGTACCTCAGCTTCTTCCTGGCTCTGCACTCTCTTGCACTCTGACGACTTCTTTCAAGTTTTGCCTTCAAGTCTATTTTGGCTGGTTTACGACCTCGTTTGCCTGGTTTCTTTACCTTGCCTCCAACCACCTGGAAAGGAAGGGCACAGTAAAGATCCTGTTCTGCAAAGGTAATGATGGAACCATGAGACAGTAAACATTAGGAGTCTCAAGTATAAAATCTTGCATATCCATCCCGGAGCAACAGAGGAAATAAGAATGCTGAGCTCTGAAGTTTTCAGGACTCTCTCCAGCGGATCAATTTCTCTCTCATACTGGGGAGCCCAGAACTGAACACACTATTTCAGGTATCTATGAGGGCATCTGGTTATTGAGGGGGCATAATCAGCTTGCAGTGAAATTGTTTTCATATCACCAACAGCTGTTGCTCTAGCAGGTCTGGAAATGTAACTCTTCCTTGCACAAATGTAACTCTCTAGTTTCTTGCACTATGGTGCAAGGTTTTGTAATCACTTTCCCCTCTTCTTTGTAGCTCCTTTTTACAGGTCTGAGAGCTTCTCCTGCTACAAATAAAAATTAAAAAAACAAACCCCAGTTTACTCTGTGTTTCCCCACTCAAATATTTTATTCTTAACATGGGGGCATGGCACAAGAAAATCTTAAATATGGTCTGAAGATTAGTTCACTGGTCATTAGGCAGTATCACCCAGTAAACATTACATCAGCCACACACCCCAGCTCCCTCTGAAGTGAGAATTTCTCTTTATTTGCATTCTGACCACACTGTTTGACTGGAGGGGGTGTGGAGAAATACACCTAACACACACACCTGCATACAAGAATTTCACTGCTGCCTTAGTATTTCACCATCCTGCACACAGACAGACTTTTTCTAACAGGCAGTGTTTAAAATATCAGAGTTCATAATTTTTAAAAAAGCACTTTTACTGTGAAAAGCTACAAAACAAGTAATTTTTAACATTCAAACAAGTCACTTGTTCTGCAAACTTAGCAAGCTGCAATAAAAACAATAACATAGTGAGTTGACGTGCCAGAATGAAGAGGGAAAAACAGGATTATACAATTGAGCCTATTCTTTCTTTGGAAAGTGAGTCAACAATCACATGCCAACATAATCCGACCCTCTCTGTATTGTCCCTCCTGATTTATTCAGGAGTAGCTGCCTACCATAAGCAAATGAAAGAACAGAAAGTACTTAATGGACATCTATATAATGAAACAAACACAATACATTCAGAAGAGGAAAGGGGAAAAAAATGAAGCTCTTTTACACTTGAACTGCTGAATACAGTTTAAATAATTCTTCACTTCATCAAGGTGCTCCCCATAAGATTTTCTAGCTCAAAAAAATGAATGTAGTTCAAAAATAAAAGTAACCAGATGTGGCCAAGGCAGGGGGCAGGAGCTCTAAGGAAGGGAAAGTGACTGTCCCCTTTCAGGCATGGCAAGATCTGTCCTCTCCTGGTTGTGGATGGTGTGATCCACATGCCCAGCTCAGCAGAAGGTGGAACTACACAGAATTTTCCCAGGTGGGGCTGTAGGCACTCACAATTTGCTCTCTATTATTACTTGCACTTGGAAGATTGGTGGATATTACATTATACACACTACGGCCAAAGCACTTCAGTTCTCAAAGACTTTTAGCACCTGAGGCTTTTTTCTGTGCTAATGCAAGGTAGTTCAAAGTAAATCTTTGAATTCAAGAGCTAGATAAGGTCTTGTAGAGACATACAGTGCAGCTCTCTCAAAAAGCCCTGGCCACTCTGGGTTCTGACCCTCTAGAACTACAGTGAGCTGCCACTCAAGGCTGGGGCCCCAGCACACATCACACTCCTATGTGAACAAAAAATACACATCACCCTGAAAAGGCAGCAGTTACAAGCAATTTAATCAAATCCTGCATCCTTGTCAGTTTTTCGTCACCAATATTTAGAAGTTCCTGCTGTAACTTTAAGCAACCCAGCTGAGGGAAAAAAAGGCCTGAGAAATCCTTTGCCCCCCTACAGCATTACCATATCTCCCTGGCTTCTAGTCCTGCTTGCCTGCTCAGTTCCTGTGCTGATGTGACAGAAAGAAGACAAAGCAGAAGTGATAGTTGATGCTGAACATGGCAACAGACCAAGCAAATATTTTTTGTCCCTTTGCATTCCTCTGCAGTTTATAAAGAGATGTGATCTATTAGCATTCAGCAGTTGAGATTTGGGGTTTTTTCAGGGAGTCATATGCAATCAAGACTCAGAACAACATTAATCATAAAAATTTTCACAGAAATATTAATAAAGGCATGTATAGTTAGAGATCTGACCAAGCTCCAACTCAGTTCACTCAGACTTCAGAAAACAGAAGAACATAACTCTTTTCTCAGGCACATGGTGTGATTCTTGGGGTGTCCTGCACAGGGCAGGAGTTGGACACGTTGATCCCAATTGATCCCTTCCAACTCAGCCTATTCTGTGACTCCACAATTTCCTCTTAATACCCCCCTTAGCTCATAACCTCATTCTTGCCTCCCATCAGTGCTCAGGCACAAAGTTATTCGACCTGGAATTGGAAATAGCTGCAATTACTTGACCTGATACAGAAAATTCCTCAGACTTCTGGGTTTTTTTATTAGAAGCCTGCAGCAGATCTCTCCAAAATCCTTGCAGAATGCACTGCAGAGGGGTCCTCCACAGGAAAGGGATGCACACATAATGCAGCTACACTGTATCAGCTCCTCACTCACTCACAACCATGAGGAGCTGAGCCCCTCAGATAGAAGACTGGGGTAGAGTTGGCCTCATCATGACATCTGCAAGTTTGAATCAATTTAGCAGATTAAAGCAATAGCCCAGGCAATGCTGATCACACTGACCAGGTCAGTATCTCCCAGAAGCTCTGAGTTTATTTACCAATGAACAAGCAGCTCCATCAACCAGCACTTGAGATCCATCTTAGGCAGACTCTGCAATGCATCGGCAGCTGAAGGGAAAGGTCTGCAGAATTTAATGCAGCATGGAACTGGTGATCATCTACACAATTTATACTAAACTATAAAAATGATTAGTAAGAAATAATACCTAAGTGCTGTGTTACAGTAGAGGGAATCTATTCCCACTTGCAAACATTTTTATAAAATCAGAAAGCAAACTAAGCCAGTTACAAGTGTCCTAACAAAGATGAAGTTTTCTGATCTTCCAATTCAAAGCATACCACTCACAGTAGCAGTACAAAACCCAGCTAGGGAGCATGCTTGTTATTCCTCCATTTCATGACATTTTATATGCCCAACACCATTCTTTTACTTTCACTGGCAGACAAACTGCATCCGATAATGATCCAAAAATGTAAGATACTATTTAGTGAGCAAACACAATCTAAGTCTTAAGCAGATGTGTCAACAGAAATTAATCCTGAAACTCCCTCCATACAAAGTGCTTCATGTCTTAAGAATGCCATGTTCAGCACAGAGGCATCAAGAATACTGTCTGTCTTTGCTGCAAGGTCTGTTTTAAAAAAGCATGAGCTAGGGATAAATAAAGTTTTCATAAAGTGTTATGCAGGCACCCAGATGGGCAAGTGCTAAAGTTCAGGGCAGCAGTCACTCAGATGCCACCTTGCCACTCCACAGGTGACAGCCCTGCTCTTCCCCAGGGAAGGACTTACAGCCTCACACAGGAATTATGTCCACCACTGGGCCCTACACATCCTCTCAGTTCTCACTAACAGAAACCAGGCACTTTTCTAAACCTGTCTTTGTTAGAACTTGGGCTCAGGGAGGGTCAGCTAACTCTACCATGTGTATCCTCCCAGCCCAATGTAACAATGAAATAAAACTGTTTAGAGACTTTAATCTCCTCCATCTTTATGGCTCCTTGCAAATATGAGCAGATGTGTCACCTGAGCAATGCTGAGCAGGAGCTTTTTCAAACATTTAATGATTTGAAATTGCTCCTATCAAACTATAACCAAAGCTGTTAAGGTTTTATATTTCCAAGCAAGCAGTAATGAGAATGCTTTATGTTTGGACATTGTAATAAATGGATAGTGGGGTGTTAGTTCTCACCAATGCTGAATGTATGTTATAAGGATGAAAGAAGTTTTGCTAAGACCTGTATGGAAATCAACCCAGCTCCTTGGGTGTAGCCCTTTGCTGAGAGCCTTCCCCGGCTGGAACAGCATGTGTTCCCTCAGAAAGGAAAGCTGCATGAACACCAGAGCAAGAAATCAACACTTGCTGGATCCACAAATATAGTAACATAATCTATTTTCTGTGCAAGACAAGAATATTTGTAATAAAAGACAACAACCCCAACCTCTTTTGGTGGTGGCCTGGTTTTTGTTTGCTTGTTTTTAAGCTCACTGGAATAATAAAATTGACATTACAAACTTTTGTTTCTCATTTCTGGGTGTAAACTGAAAAGGTAATTACCAAAATAAGTCTTGTCAGTGTCACCTGTAAAAAACTCTGTAATTAGTACAAAATATTGCAGTTAGCTGTATAAAACTGTATTTTAATGTTGACCAACAAGTTATCAACTTCTTACCCTAGTCCCTACTCTCTGCTTCCCAATGCATATAACAAATACTTAATATGTTATATGTAGCCTTGTAAAATAACCAAGAAATTTCACCTGAAAAGGTGGCTGAAGCCACCATAACAGAGCTTCTCCTTTTTCCTCTGTCCAAAGACTTCAGAGATGCACAACTGATGTTTTAACATGAATTAACTGCAAGTAACAGCTCCATCACTAAATTCCTTCCCTTCCACACCCAATAGCTCAAATCACAGGGAGAAGTGAGGCCAGAACCTGAACAGCCCCTAGGTTAAAAGCAGTTCTACAAAAGAAAAGAAAAGGAGGTCATATTTTGGGTGGGGGTTCTTTGGGATTGTTTGTTTGGGGTTTTGTTTGGGTTTTTTTTTGTTTGAGGGGTTTGGTTGGTTTTTGGGGTTTTTTGTATGTGTGTGAATATTTTAAGAACATCCTTCTGAAATAAAACATGACATTTTTCTAGATCTGATGTTAAGATATTCTACCTCTCCCTTTATTTCTTGCTATTTCCTTCCAGTTTTGCGGAATGTGTTGACAAGAACCATTCTTCTAATGTCCTCTTAAATCAGACAAGAGGCTAAATTAAAGTGCACTATGAATAAGGGAAACCTCTGCAGCCTGCAAGCTCAGTTCTAAATTCTTTGTGTCACTTAGATGAAGGCAAACACTGAACTGGGCTGTACGCAGTTACAGACTGGTCATTACACTACCAACACAATTTAGTTGGTAGAATTTTGCAGGGAAAGTCCTTTCACAGGCCAACCCCCTCAGCAAGGAGGAAAGCATGACTCAGTGGAATTTTTAGGAGATTTCAAGGGCATGCTGACTCCAGTGTAACCACAGTGGCCATAAAATGAGTAATGAGTAAATAAATAGTGCTTGCCTCATCCTGACACAGCAACCTGCAATGGGAAGAGCCCTCCTAAGGGAAATGGCATCTCTTGAATGGAGTCACCAACTCCTCAAAGTGACCTGCAGTGTCATGAATGATAAAAACTGTACATGGGAGTGAAGACAGGAAGAAGAGTGAATATTCCACTCTGTTGTTTTTTCTTATTCAACTCAACATCAATTTAAAAAAATTAAAAAAAAGACCAAAGATTCAACTTACTGACTGGATAAACAGATTTATTTTATTTAGTAAATGTGTCAAAAAAATGTTTCAGGAGGAAAAAAAAAGGCATACTATCATGACTCCACATGACATAATGGCAGACCAAAAATTATTTTTAAATGAAAATTTGGGAGTTGGGTAATAAAAAGAGCCTAATTCAGAGAAGAACATTAAAAGAAATAAAAATCAGATAATGCTCATATACACCTCCAGAACTAAATCTTCTGGATCTTCTAAACTACTGCCCAAATTACACAAACTTTCATGCAGTTCCCAGAGTTGTGACATATCAGTGATGCAGATTTCCCCCAACCACCTTCACAGCTTTCAGGCAATACCAAAATAAAATAAAATAAAATAAAATAAAATAAAATAAAATAAAATAAAATAAAATAAAATAAAATAGTTTACATGTTCAAATAGCAGATCACCACAAACCTTTCAGAGCCTTACAACCCATTCTGTGGATTGTGGACTGCCAAATTACTGATCACTTCTAAATTTCTTTATTCCTTAAGAAATCGTGTCAAGCATTTTTTCTCGCCTTAAATTAAAGCAGATCTTCATAGGCTGTGTAATTTTGTTCCAGTAAAATTCCAGTGGGTAAGCCATAACCAGCACTGCAGGGAGCTGAAACACCCAGCCTCAGCTGAGAGCCTGCACAGCACTGCAGTGAGCAGACACAGCCACTGTCCCTGCAGGCCCAGCTTTAGGGACACCCTAAGCAGGAGGGCGGAGGAAGCAGGGGAAGATCCATTCCTTGGGCATCTTTTTATGTTCAGCTCTGCTCAGCAGGAACCCCACACCTTCAGGGATGCCACTGTGCTGCTCTCATGAAATTCCTCCAATGCTGGAAGAATCCAGGTTCCAGCACCCAGTATGAGGCTGCAACCCACGCTGCTGCCCTCGACCTCACCATTTGTGCACACCATTTGGGACACTTCCAGCAGGAGGGTGGAGGAAGATCCATTCCTTGGGCACCTTCTCATGTTCATCTTCGCTCAGCTGGAACCCCACACCTTCAGGGATGCCACCGTGCTGCTCTCATGAGATTCTCCCAATATTGGAAGACTCCAAGCTCCAGCACACAGTACAAGGCTGCAGCCCACGCTGCTGCCCTCGTACCTCACCATTTGTGCTATTTATAATCAACCCAGGCTGCTGCTGGGAGCATGAGGCTCTGCACCACACCACACTGCTGGTAACCCAGCCTTTGTCCATGCCTGGAGGTTTAAGGAATCGCCAGAAGCAGCACCGAAGCGCTGCAAGCAAGAACTAAGCGGGTAACCCTTCCTTGCTATCAGCTGCGGCAAGCAGAGCTCGCCAAGAGCAGATTTCAGAAGGGTCCCTGCACCAAGAGCCTCACCGGCTGCCCCCAGCTCCAGCAGGCCCTTACCTTGCTGTCATCCATGTGTGCCGCCAGCCCCGATCCGCCTGGCCGCAGCCCCTGCTCGAGGAGCAGGCGGAGCCGCCCGCCCGCCCGCAGCCCGGGCAGACACCGGCGCTCACAGAACCTCAGGGCCGCCCGCGGCCGCCGCCATCGCCCGCTGCCATGTTTGTTTACAGATCAGCGGAGCGGCCGCGCCGGCACAGCGGTGCACGCTGGGAAGTGTAGTCTTGTTCGGCCCCCGTCGCTATTTGCCGCCGCCCTGACAGGAGCAGAAAAAACAACTCCCAGCAGGCCCAGCCGAGGAGCGGCACGGCGATTGCTCCTCACCTCCCTGACCGGGCGAACTACATTTCCCAGGAGGCTCCGGGTGCTCCTCGCCTCACCCCGCAACAACTGAATTTGTTGGGTTTTGTTTGTTTGTTTGTTTGTTTGTGTTTTCTCTACCGCTCGCGCCATTCCACGGCTGTTCTGCTGCAACCGCAATGGCTCAGGGAAGATGACCAGGGGCTGGTGGGGCCAGGGCTGCCGGCTCCCACCCTAGCACGGGCTAGATGAAAAACCCCCAAACCAATAAAACAACAAATTTAAGTTTTCTGCTGGTTTTTGCCTTGCTTTGCCCTAAGAGGTCTTGAAGACAGAGCCGAATTTTCCAGGCCACCTGGACACTACTGAGCCTGTAGTTCCTGGAGAATACCCAGTTCCCCCCATTTCCAGGTGGGCTCTTGCGGAATCCCTGAGGTAAAGCCAGGCCGTCCTCCTGTGTCTGTGGCCCCAAGTGAGCCCTGTGCTCGCTGGAAGGACACAGGTATGTGAAAAACGCCAATCACTTGTTTTTAAAAGTTTAATAGTAATAAAACGGTTATAAAAATAGCAATACAATTATAGTAATAATAATTTGGACAATTTGAATTAGGACAATATGAGACAATAGCAACAAAGAGTTACGGATGTCTGGGTACCTTTTTCTGAGTTGCATAAGCCCGAAAAAGGACGCATATTAACAAAGGATTAACCCTTAAAAACAATAGGCTGTTGTGTATTCACACACCTTATACATGATGCATAAATTCCAATCAAACACAGGATTCTGTCTGGTCATCATCAATTTCTTCCTCCTAATCGTAATGGTGTTGTCCTACCCGAGCCAGGCAGGAAGTTGTTAGTTTCTCCTGATAATGGAGCAGTAAATTCTCTTTCTCTTAAAGATTCAGGTGTCCTGTGGCTGCTGCCTCAGTGTGAGTCCTTTCTTTAGAAAAAAAAAGGATCCTACCTAGTATAGTTTCTATTTTAACATTTTGTTATACTAAAACTATATCTAACACACTACTTAAGAAAATTAATACAGCATTACATTCTAACACAACACATTTTTTTTTTAATATTTGCTAAAAGCCAATCATAAAATATGCATTTTTCACAGGTACCCCAGGACACAATGCTCTTCAGCACGGCCCACGTTTCAAGCTGGCGGTGAAACCTGAAGCTTGGCGTGTTTCATGTTGCTGCATGTTTCTTTTTATTCATGCAAGAGTTTCCCATGACTTAATCTCTTTTACATGCAATTGTTAGGGCTGAAGGCTTTGTCATGGGATTTTCCCCCTGAATCACAGACCTTCCTCTTGGAGGGATATGCTTGCTAGATGGCAGAGACAAAACACTTTCTGAAGCTTTTTTTTATTCTGTAAGGTTATATGTCGTCAAAGACAAGGCAGTTTGCACACTGCTTGTCCAAAAAACAATGAATCAGTTCTGGTAACTCTGCTTTGAAATAATAGTAGTAAAAAAGCAGGATGATCAATGTGTCAAACATCAGCTAATAAAGTGGAAGGAATGGCTTGCTATGAGCTTGTCTCCTGTGATCCCACCCCCATCTTTACCTTCAAATTCTTCCAGAGGGTGGTGAGGTGCCTCCTCCTGCCTTTGGCAATGTCCTCAGGCCATAAAGCTGCCTTTAAAAGCCAGCTGGGGGTTTCCCCGGTGAAGGGAAATATTGAGTGGCAGAGAGCCAACATAGCTCACTTAGGCAACTCTCTGTTGCAACATGAGTGGAGGAAGGAGATTAGACAGAGCCCTGGTGCTGATTCAGAAAGGCCAGAATCCTTTTAACCAGCAAATTAAAGTTATAGCTGCATCTTTTCTTCCCACTTGATTGCCCCACACTGCCCATCCTGCTTTATGACACGTAAGAGGCAGAGATCCCAGCTTCTGGATAGAGCACAATTCCCTGCCTCAGCACTTATGGGGATCTGTGTGTTAGCAGGGAACAACTCAAACTAAGCATTGCATTCTGCTTTTCCACTCTGCCTCTGCTGTCCTCCTGGGTGAATTCAGACTTGTGAGTTGAGTGGGAGTCTGTCAGAAAGAACAATTGTGAATGGAACTGGATATTATTTATATATAGATATGCACAGAGAGAGGATAAGATTATGACATTTTAAACTGATTTTAGCTGTTTAAACATTTAAACCATAGTGATGTCCACCAAGGAAATCCTACCTTGTGTTACATTCAGTGTCACAAAGTGTTTTGTGCAATAACTATTGGCAGGTCCCTGATGGAATTAGTAATATTTGTTAAAAGAAGGGTTGTGCTTCTGAGATCCAGAGAGACTTTGAGGAAGATAAATAAAGTGAGTTCAGCAATCAGGCAATAGCTTAAAAATCATTGCTTATGTCAGTGTGACTAAAAAAAGAGATATAACTCACAGGGTGATTTTGCACCATGTGCTCATATTTCAACACATCCCAACAGGGCATTTATTCTCCCCAGATCTGTAAATGTGTTAATTCAGGCAATTCAAAATCTGTTCCTCTGAAATCCTGCCCAAAATAAAAATAAATCTTGCAATCTTTTGGTATCAAGCATTTTGCTGAAATTGCTCCACTATACATTCATGGAATCTTTAGAGATTCAGAGCCTTTGAGATGAATTCATTTATAGATATGCAGGCAAAGATAAAGCTAAGATATTCTCTTGTTTGTTTTCCAAATGTACTGAGATGTTAATTGCTTTAATAGAGATGCTAACTCCTTTGCCACTGGGCAAAGACAGTGCAAGAACAGCCTGCCTTTCAATCCCTTGGGGTTTGGGATTTTTTTGTGGAACTGATAGAGAAATTGCACTTTTCTGCATTCTTTAATATGATACCCAAGAAATGTTTCTGGAAATGGAAGAAATTCTGTCTTTCAATTTCTGTCTTTCAATTTCAACTCTGTTCACACTGAGGCAGAGAACACATTTAACTTGTCATTTAAACCCACTAGTTAAAGCATTTGTCACTGAGGAGTGACCCAAAAAAAGTTTATTTACCTAATATTCTATATCTTATTGTTGTTTATATATCTAGGATATATAACAGTTTGTTGTTGGTTTGTTGTTTTTTTCTTACATTAGAGAAATCAGCTGAAGACCTGGAAAACCTGGTAAACACATGAACAGCACATGCTCACAAGTACAATGATTGATCACCTCATTGGTATGATTAAAAGGAAATTCTGTTTAAAACAAATGTTCTTTGAAAGATGGTTTTTAAAACCTAATTCAGTGTTTGAACAAAGCACAGCACACTGGAAGCCTGATCTGCAGCTACTCCCTATACACTGTATAATTAAATGTTGATAATGGAGTTACTCTCATATTTGCTAAATTCTACTTTGTGGCAAGATGAGCACCTTCTGTAGTTGCAAATGTGTAAAGTCACAACTACAAGGGGAGTTCTTTCTGTTTAGCTATTGCAAATGTACTTCTCAAGCAAAATGGACTCGAAAGAAGATAATTTGGAATAATCAACTCTTGTTCTGTGCATACACATAGGCAGAAAAGTTACTGCTTTATCTGGCCACTTTCCCACATAAGCAACATCTTGAGACAGTGCTCATGATGCTTTTATATTGGTGAAGAGTATCTGTAAATTAAAATATTGCATGAAAATGTTCATGCTGCAGTTGGAAAGGAGCTATTTCATATTTTCTAGCTTGTGGAAGGGAGAAAAATAAGTTAGATGATCCTACACTTCACACGTATGATCAGAGGGGAGAACTAGAAGTGGTTCAAAAAGTCATTTGATTAACATGGATTTCACACAAAATTTAAGCTAAATATAAGAAACTGAGAGCCAAGGATCAAGACAAATCACTGATTAAGAAAATGACAAAGAGTGGGTTGAAGTTCAGTGAGGTGTGCAAATGAGTAAAATTTTACCTTGTTCGGAAACAACAAACAGAACAGCACAATGTGCCACGTTCAGGAATGTGAGAGCCATGTTGTATCTGGCACTTGAACAACAGAGAATTATTGCTGCTGATATGGTAATTGCAGAGGTACAGAAAAAAAGTGGGTGGATCATGTGAAATTCATGAAATACTTGAGGTGAACTTACAGCAGGATTAGTCTTTTAATTGTGTACATTGATCTCTATGCACAATTAGTTTACTAAAAAGGCATATTGTTCATTCTCAAGAGGTTTAAAAGTGCACTTCAGCTCAGTGTCTTTCTTTTTTTTGGTTCTTAAAATATTTTGCAACATGCTACTCCCCTTTGTCCTACGCAAACAAGTATGTCTGCATATGCAAACCTACTAGAGCCACTCAAAACTGCTGTCAGTAGCTGGCTTTTCTGGTAAGAGCATTTCTGGTTGCTTTCCACAAGACAGAAAATCATTTTAAACACTTCTGTCCAGCCCCAGATTCTCTGGCATGGGCTGTGCTCGCATTCAAAACATTTACTAATCTAAGTCTGATACTGTTGCCTTGTCCAAGGGCATAAGCAAGGTTTCTGCACAGCCTGAGCAAAAACTGAAGGACTTGCATGGCAAGCTGGATCTCTGCACTGTAACTGGGTCAGAGGACTTCCATGATGACCTTGACTACTGTCAGAAATGCCATTGTCCCTTGTGTGAAGGGTTGGGGCATCACATACAGCACTTTGCCCTGGCCTGCACTGCTCACTCCGTCTTAAGTCAGCATCACACCTGCTAACTCCTGGTTTGCAACTCTGTTTAAGTGTATTGGATTTCCTGTGTTGCTGTAGCTGCCCATGAGCCTTGCATTTGTGTTTAATGAGGTTTCTATTTAAGGAGACTGCTCATGTGAACAGCAGTTACGGGATCAAATCTCAAAAAGTGTTCCATTAATTTGTAATAAATGTAAATGAATTAGTGTGTGTTATCCACTCTGCATAATACACA